CCTTATGATTATTTCCCATTCCACTTTTTATTTTACTCATATTTCTATTGTTTTCCACTGTTGTATTTCTGTTTAATATTATTGTGAATTTTTTTTTTTCAAAAAATCTGGTCAATAAAAATATTTTGAAAAGGTATTGTGTAAAGTTCACTTATTAAATGTGTTTAATATTCTTCCGTACATTGAAGTGTTGGATGGATTTAACCTGTGCGTAAATTAAAGCATCACCGTTGTTTTGATCACCTTAACGTAAAAGATTGTTTGTTTCTTGTGATGTCATATTTAATAGCTACATTTGGCCATTTGACTTGTACCAAGAAAGACCTACAAGAGCATTGTGTCCTCAATTCCACTGTTTGCTGGACTAGTGTCAGAGAGCGGCCAGACATCGTCTCTCCAGGAATAGGACACAACTTAACTAGGAAAGATGGAAAAGTAAACAAGCAAGAAACAGATAGTCTACCAGTTCTTAAGACAAAGCCCCTCCACAGTTAAGTAGTAAACTATTAGACGAGAAATTGTAATAAATAATGTAACTAACGTCAAGTTGAAAGAAATACAGAAAGTCATAAACAGGACAAGTGTTTGATAAAATAATGTGCTTGCTGTATCTAGACCAATGAAACAGCTCGCATCCTTATCAATGCTGGTTTAATTGGCATTAAATGCCAGTGTCGTTGACTGTGTCAATATTGTGACACCAGAAGGTTTGGCTTTGCATGAGCAAAATAAAGGCCAATTCTAAGAGATGGTCTAATTCTGGGAGATGGTCAAACGAGACTAAGATCAATATAAATAAATTCAGGTTGGCATTGTCCAGCATTACAAATTATGCATAATAGATGGCATCAAGGGGATAGAATATACAATCATTGTCTTTTAAAACAGGCATTCCTAAACAGTGATCCAACCAAGAAAAGTTAGAAAATCAATTCTCAACACAACCAAGCTGTAGACTGTGACTTTCTTTCCAGATCTGTTGTTTGATCTGTTTATAGCAGGTAGGTTGTCAACTCGCAACTTACTATTTCGTGATCAAGATTCCACTGAATAGCCTTCTGGTAATCAACATCCTAAAGCGTTCAATTTAATGAATCACAGAAACTCTTACAGAAAATAACATGTGTTTTTTGTGTTCCATGCTTCTGTGTGTGGACTGATATGCCCAGTTTTTTCCATTTTGCATGCATTTGTTTTGACTTTTGTTTTCCTCGTTGTCACAATATGTTGCCTCTGAATGTTGGAGGGGAGTGGGTGTACGGCTCAAATTTTCTTTGGTGTATTATATATTTGTCATGAATCATTCTCTTTTACAATGCTGACATTAGTCAGATCACATTGAGCTGTTTCCATTCAGGTCCTTCTTCTTTCACCAACTACCAATGATTGCTTTATTTCTATATATTTATGCAGTCCATCAGACAACTGCCCAGAAACATGTAACGCTGCCATATAGATGAGAGAGAGAGAGAGAGAGAGAGATGAAACATAAGTTTAATAGAATGATATCTGGCCATCTGTGAACACTTCGTAGGGATCACTATTAAGTCACTCTAGTAACATTATTAAGAAGTCTTGTTTTATTTTCCGGGATAACATAATTAAGCTCGAAATAATATAGAGCATAGTGGTGCATGACATATGCGGGTCTGGGAAACTCCTGAACATGAAACTCAATCCTTAGATGGGTATTAGGCATGGGAGAGTATGTCAAAAACATATTTAGCATGCAATCCTTTCTTTTGTAGCACAGTCTCATAGTCTAATGTTATGTATGATTAACATTACTCGTGAACATTTTAAAAATAACAGGAGTGGAAAACACTCAAGACATTTTACAGGAATAATGCAGAAGTGCATTTGTCCTCAGGAAATAGAGGTGTTATGTTTTTCCATCTACAATATGTCTACTGAGGTCACTAGATGTGAAAGCTCTAGCATTCGTTTAGATAAAATGCAACCTAAGGACTTCATAGCCCGTACACACAGACCATGTATCATTGGGTCTTATGTTCACTGGCAGTATGTACTATGTATCTGTGTTCATGCATTTAGTGAAGCTTAACCAGTGCCCGCTTTTAGGAGGTGACATTACGTCCTGAAAGGCATGGACTTTAATGATGTTAGAGTGTAATGACACCTCCTAACGTCTATGAGCCTGCAGCTCCCGAATTATACATCTGATCTGATCGGGATAACTGCTTGATAACTCAGACAGTCCCCCATAAGCCAGTTGGTTGTCATCAGAGCCACGTGATCACCGAGACAGCTTGTAAACGCGATCATTGATACAATGCCACAGTCCATGATTTGTATCATGGGCTGTGACATTGTATTCTGCCTCTCTGTTCACTCAGTTTGTTCTGAGGCGAGAGAAGCAGAGCGACTACTATTACAGTGTCCCAAACTATTAAAACAAGTGTTAAAAAAAATGCCTCTTTTTTTTAAAACATTTTCAGTGCTGATCAACTTGGGAAATAACAAAGTTTCTTAATTTCTCACACTCACACTTTATTTTTATTTTTTTATATATTAAATTATGTTTTATGTATAAATATTTGATGTGAAATGAAAGCCCTATTTTTCCTGAACAAAATACTATACAGTATAATAAGTATGGGTGCACTTAAAATGAAAATGGTAAATTATGGTTGAAGGACAAATAGCTTAAATTCTAGGTTTTGGTTCAGGACTTGTACAGTTGTCAGGGGTTAACCCCTTAACGCCGCTAGGGTGTACTATGCCGCCCCGCATTTAATGAGCCTAAACGCGGTTAGGGCGGCATAGTACGCACTAACGATCATTAGCCCTCCCGACCCAGCAGACTTACCTGGACCAGCGATTCGCGGAGATCACGAGACGGGCAGTCTCCCTGCTTCCATATTGGCCCTCCAGGGCATGTGATTGTGATGGACATTGCAAATCACATGGCTGCAAAGCAGTCTATGAGACTGCCTACAGGGGGATTGCCTGAGTGTTCAGGTGGTACCCCTAGTGCCTAAAAATTAAATAAAAGTTAAAATCACACATTGCCATAGTATATTATACATGTATAATATATTATAAGTTAATTAACTCATCTTATTAGCATATTATGTATATATAATACATATACATATATAATTTGATTCTTAATATATGTTGTCATTGATCTATATATTAATACCAAAACGCAGAATTAAATTAAATATGTATTATATATGTATAATACATTAATCAGATGATTTAATTAACTTATAATATATTATACATATCATAATAAAATAATTTCTTTTTGAAAAATAGATGTAATATCATAAGCATTTCTTTTTTTTTGCAAATTAGGCGACATCTTTGATGTAAGTTTAGTATGAAAACCTGAACCGCAGCGGCCGGCGTTCCTAAGAACGTCACACCCACTGGGGACCGGAACGGAGGGAGACCGGACAGCTGCCCACCGTCTCCAAGGTAAGTCTCATACATCTCTGTCGGCAAGGCTGCCTAGTTTATGTGAAGACACGCCAGCAGAAGAGCCGGGAACCGTGAAACCCCATGCACCGTGTCACTACTGGCTGTGTATCGGCTCACGGCAGGAATCACCACGTTCAGCATTCGATTAGTCGAACAAGTCATTCGTCAGTTTGCTTAATACCGCAAGCTAATTTGCGGTATACTTCTCATACGGTGCCACGTTCGGCACATTCATTTCATTAGTTAATACATTCATTCACCTAATTGTTGATTAGACCAGCACTGGCCGAATTTCGGTTAATCACCGCATATTTTGATAATAGCTCAGCCTTGCTTGACACTGGCAGATCAGTTAGTTATTTTGTCGCCACCTAGTGGCTTTGGTTGCAATTGCTTAATTCTGTCATAACTGTGCTAGCATGTCATTCTGCAAATTGTTGCATGGGTAAAGGAATCACTTATAGAGTTGGTTTTATGCATACAATACAATGTTATATCTCGGTACTAACTAGTTCACTTACGTAGTTATGGTATGGATATCAAGGTTGTTAAACTTGTATCTGCCTCTACATTATTTCTGCATCAGTGGTTCCTTGAACTGATTCTCGTGATGCTACTAATAGGTCTTAATTTCAAAAGTGGTATATTAATTGGGTTGCGATTAGACGTTATGTCTGGCGCCACAGTCCATAATGTTGCATATGCATTTCTGCACATTTTACTTTTAAAAATATTTATGAATTATGGTTAATCATATTTTTACAGATTCGAGGGTGCAATTTAAGGCAGCATTTTGCTCTTCAGATCTCAAACCCTATTCCAGTAAGTAGGTGGGGATTTTAGGGGCTTCTATATTTAGGAGTACCTTGGCTTGTATACATTTTAATACATATACTTATTTTTAGGTACAGGCCTCTCCTTCCCCTCCTTCTTTAGTGGGAGTCACAGATTCGGTGTCAAGTTACGACCATATTTTCTGACTTAAACACGCAAGTGGGTTTTAGGTACATTTTGCCTGTTTATTCCAACAATGTTTCCCTCCCCCCCCTAGGGTTTTTAGGTTAACTGGCTGGATAGAGTCCTGAGGGCCACTAATAGTAGCATTTCTGGCCCTTTTCACCTAATTTCACAGTGGTCCTGCGAGACCAATACCCATCCTCTATGCTTGAGGTAAAATTCGCCCTTCGGGCCAAATCATAGATAGCCGCCTTGTACGACTGCATAGAGAGGGCCTCCCCTCTCACTTCCAAACTGTCTTCTCCTTTAAAAGTCACCGAGAGGCCATAATAGAGCCATAATTTTTTTTTAAATGTTTCTACTTGAGTGGGCCCACTTTATTTACCGCCTTACCGCATACATCGGTTCCGGCACACAGCAACCGACTTTTTCCTATATACAGGTTACGTCACTACAAAGTATACATTTATCTTAACGATGGTTGCCCAAAGCACATATATATATATATATAAAAATAAAAAAGATTCCTGCACTCCAACCAAAGAAAAGTGATACCTGGTGCTCTGGTAGCTGTAATAATATATCCCAAAAAAATACCAGCACTCAAGGAGTTTCCAAACATAAATCTTCTTTTATTCGATGTCGCTTTTGGAATAAAAGAAGATTTATGTTTGGAAACTCCTTGAGTGCCGGTATTTTTTTGGGATATATATATATTTATTTGATGTGTATATATATCTACTATTTTTACATAATTAAGTCATTTTATTTTTTATAATTCAAGGGACCTGCCTGATAACCAAGGCAGAAAGTCCAGCTAATTTAATTTAAAAGCCCTATATTTAACCCTGTTACTTTCCAAAACACCATAAAACCTGTATATATGCGGTACTGTTATACTCATGAGACTTCGTTAAACACAAATATGAGTGTTTTAGAACACTAAAACTTGTAATGATGATGATATCATCAGTAAAAGCGCAGTTTTTGTGTGAAAAATGCACACTCAAAAAATGAAAACTAACCTTGGCTAGGGTTTGTGACTAAGTGGCTACTACAAAAGACCAGACTTACCCAATTCTGAATACCATAGGTTGTCTACTTTTACGAATAGTATGCCATGATGGTGGCAATTCTCAATTCTGGGCTGCCATACGGTCTCAACGGCAGCATAGACCCAGCAAACCAATCTGGCAAATGAAAAAGGGGATAGCCCTATATTTAACCCTGTAGCTTTCCAATACCCCATACAATCTGTACATGAGGGGTACTCGTAAGACATCGCTGAATACAAATATGTGTATTTTATTGCGGCAAAACCCAACAGTATTATGACATTCACAGTTAAAATGCCATGCAGAACTTAAAAAATAACAAAATGTTTTCACATTTTATTCATATGAAATTATGTTTCAAATATAAATATTTAAATTAATTAAAAAGCCCAGTTTCTCCTGAACAAAATGATATATAATAAGTGTGGTTGCACTTAATATGAAAGGTGAATTAGGGTTGAACAGACATATAGTACAAATTCCAGGTTTTGTTTACGTTTTGTTTTGTTCAGAATGTGTACAATTGACTCTGTCCTTAAGGGGTTAAACTTGTTTATGTTTCGGAGAAGCTGGATGTATTAAAAACGGCATATTTGCATTTTTATTTAGATTGTGACTTTTAGAAACTTGTTAATCGCGTTTCAATTTTTACGTGTTGCTGGTTGTTTTGGAGTCTGTGTGTGTTTCTGGTTTAATTGCAGCTGGGTGTTTAAGAAGATGTATACATTTGTTTAACGGTTTTCTATTATACTGGGAGTGTTGGTGGTTCAATATTGCTGTGCGTATGGTTTGCTAGCTGTTGTAAAGGTTTGATGCCAGTCTTCACTTTTTTGAAATCTTTTTCTGGTGTGAGTGGCCGTCTACTATATATTATGTTTGCAATTTGTCTTTTTTTTGTTTTGTGTTCCATATCCAATTAATAACATTTACACATTTTCTATTTTGCACCAAAATTAGTACTCTGGTATATTTTCTGCCATTTGATAAATCACTTTTATACAGCTATCGTAAATTATGCTGAATACTTGTAGAATATGGTGAAAACATATTGCGCCAACCAAATTTGTGTGTTTGATTTTAAGATTTTTACTTTACTAGTTTTCACAAATGCTGGGTTTTCCTAAAAAAATACATTATTGTTCCTTAACATTATTGTTGAATTCATTTTTATCAAAAATTCTGTTCCTTTGTGAACTACATATACTTTAGGAGCAAAAGCAATAAAGCCCACTTTGAATGTATTGACGTTAACACTAATTATATCCTTTTAAATCCCATAATCCACCTGCAAGTATTTATTATTCTAAAGATTTTTTAGTGGCAGTTTAGAATAACAATTGCATTCCATCCCAGAGCAAACACTGCCAAATTGGCCCAAGCAGAACAGCTGACTGTCAAATAGCACCCCCATTACAGTCTTCTATTATGGAAATGCTTTTTTTTAACTGTGGGAACTTCAGGCAATGGTATTTCTGTTTACAGTTCTTGATATTTTCTGATTGTGGTATATCCATGCATAACTATCAGTGAAAAGCTTTTTAAAGAAGTAAATCAGTTTGGAATTGGTTTACTGTTAATAATTGCTTTGTTTCATTTAAAAACTACATATTATTATGTTTATTATTTTATTATTTACCTAGCGCCAGCAAATTCCTTACAATGGGGCAGCAAGTTAGTTTTTAGAGCTTCGCCATATAGAGAATATTTTTTGTACCATTTTTCAATGTTTCGAAATAGGCATTTAAAAAAACATCATTTATGTTTATTTATATATTAAAAAAAACTTCCAAGAGTAATTTAAGACTAAAGGGAATTATCATACAAGTTATATTAGCCTGTGGTTAAACTCATGTGGGTTTGAAGTCCTTGTAAAACTTGGTGTACGCATATACGTAAATGTTTAACTTTCAATGCAAATAACCAGTATAAGAAATAATTAATGGATTACTTGTCAGGTGATTCGGACATTAAAGTAAATTTTCCATCTTTGCATATTTGCAGCAACCTGTTGCACCAAGTCTTTGTCCTTGCTATAGGGACAGCTAAGCAGAAACCCAACTACCATGCCGCTATGTATTGAATTATTGAGTGTTTTACGGAATATGAAAACACAGGAATTATATTACACAATTTTCTCTATGTGTGGCTATATGAAGCTGGCTATATTTGTCTTGGGTATTTTGTCTGTACCTCATTCTTTCATCTATGTGGGAAATGAAAGTTATTAACTCCTCTAGGTTTTCAGGAAGATCCCTAGTAGCTATGTCATCTACAATAGCATCTGATAAACCATTCAAGAAAACATCCACAAAAGCTTGGTTGTTCCAACCTACTTCAGATGCTAGAGATCTGAATTCCAGAGCATATTCTACTAAGGTTCTGTTTCCTGCCTAATGCGAAGGAGGGATCTGGCTGCATTGGCCTTTCTTCAAGGTGGATTAAATGTACACCTGAAAGCCTCTACAAAAGCAACATATTTGTAAACTATAGGATTGTCATTTTCCCAGAGAGAATTTGTCCAAGTCAAAGCTCTATCCACTAGTAGTGTTATGATGAAGCCCATCTGTAGGATATGAACGAGGCTGGAGTTCAAAGTGAAAACTGATCTGGTTTAAAAATCCCCGGCAAGCTTCTGGTGCCCCACCATAACATAATGGTGGTTTGACATGAGAAGAGGCACCTACTGTAGCCACCTCAAGCCCAGTAGTTAGAAAAGCCACGGAAGAATTATGACCTTCATCGGGGCCAGGAGTAGACCTATTGATCAGGCTCTATAAGGCAAGAGTCCATTTCCTTGAAAAGGGTATCATATGGACCTACCTGGGTACTTACACCTGCTGGATCCATAAAGGCCCTGTTGTAATGTCAGGAAAGGTTGGGATCCTATATGCAGAGTGTAATAGAAAAGTATTGTATACCGGACCTTAGAATGGCAGGGTTGGCGTCACGAGGACACAGAATAAACAGGTACAAGCCGAGGTCAGGGGAGCCAGAAATCAAGAACAACGAGGGTACACAAGCCGAGTCAAAGGGTAATAGATAGAAGGGTAGTCAAACAAGCCAAAGTCAAAACCAAGAATACAATAATAAAGAACAACGCGCTATTGGTACTAATAGAACCACAACAGGGCAATGAGTCATGTTCTGAAGTTCCTTTTTATACTGTGTTCTTTTAATTGGTAGTCACGCCCCCTAAAACTTTCAAATTCAAAAATTTGGGCGGTTGTGACGTCATCAGCGCCATGACGTCGGCATGCATGTGCTGCGTAAAAAAAAGGGGCGGGGCTATTGCGGCCGGCACGATTATCACTGGAAACCTTAGGAGGATGTCTAGACAGGTCCCCAGCCTCCTGTAGGAAGACTTCAGTGTGTGGCACAGCCTGTGCCCACACAAAGGATACCCTGACAAATATAGGGCTCAATTTAAGATTCTGGTACTTGCTTACAAGTCCCCACATAATGCTGCTCCAACCTACCTAATACACAAGTATGTCCCGTTGAGGCCCCTGCGCTCTGCCAGAGACCTACGTCTATCTTCTGTCTGTACTCCTACATCTGATGCTCACCTCCAAGACTTCTCCAGGGCTGCACCTCTTCTGTGGAATTCTTTTCCCTTCTCCGTTAGACTTTCACCCAGTCTCCACTCCTTCAAAAAACCTTTGAAAACACACTTCTTAAGGAAAGCACATCATTTAAACTGCTAGCAGGTTTTCCTCTCCTCCCTCCCCCCCCATGACTCCTCTCCTGCAACTGTTAAAAATAACCAAAGTTCTCAGTGAATACTTTTCTAGCAACCTATTTCATTACCCCTACTTATACCCTTTGCGTCACTATACCCCATTCCCTCTAGCATGTAAGATCATTGAGCAGGGCCCTCAACCCCCTGTTCCTGTGCGTCCATTAGAGAAATATATAAGCACGAAATTTGATTGGTGCCAAATAAATTAGCAAATAAAGTGATATATGGCAAAAAGGGCAAGGAAAAACAATTAAGCGAACAAGCCCTGTTAAAGAAATACTGTCAACTACTCCTTAAACCTCAGCATCCGTCATAAATTCAGGAAAAAAGGTAAAGGCAACTCTTTTCATTTGGGTGCTACATGACAAAAAAAAAAGGGAGAAAACTTTATAATGGCATCGAAAAAAAACTTAGACACCAAGAAACCCATAAACAAGAAAGAAAAGAAGTCTGATAATAAAACCAAAAAATGGCTATCCTTTTTCTCTCGACAATCTACTAGGACAGAAACAGAACTGCAACATGATACTTAGCTTATGGCGAAAGAGCTAGTGGTGGAGTCACCAAAACATCTATGATTGAAGAAATATCACCCTCATTACAAGAATATTTAAATACTTGTTTTGAGATTCAACTAGAGAAGATTAAATCTGAAATCCAGCTCAACATGACGGAATTTAAAAAAGTATTTCTATTATTAGGCTCCAGAGTTAAGCTAACCGAAGAAAAAATTTAAGCATTATCATTTCAACAAGATACTGAACAAAAGAATCAAAAGATTTTGAGAACGAAGATTGATGAAATGGAACAAAAATTGGTGGATACAGAGGACAGAGCTAGATATAACAATTTAAGGTTCAGAGACATAACCTGAACAAATCACTAACGACAAACTATAATAGTTTGTA